TTTTTTTTTAACATCATAAAATGTTTCAGCACCCATGGTGCTATTATAAGTAATTATTTTTTAACAATGATGGATTCAATTATACTAGATACATGCATTTTTTATATTGATACAGTTGAGTAAATTATAGTTATATATAGTATGAGTGTAAGTGTCTTCTGATGATGATTCTTTGCTATCCGTTAGGAGAATGTCCTGAGGGAGTCGAGGTCTAGACGTCTGTTTATTGTTTTTTTTTTTTAGGTTATAGTGACGGTTTAAATTGTTGTTAGATTTTTGGAATTGCGTCTTTATCCATTTGTTGATGAAGGGTTTATCCGTATCATTGTGAGTTTGACTGTTTCTCGCTAAAACCATAAAACTGCAGAAGTTTTCCCGACAAATTGGTTGTATCGAATATTTATGAATTTTTTTATCAATTTAAAGTTTTTATTTTCAGAATTAAATAATAAAATATAAAAAATGTATTGAAAGTGTCTATGAATTATATTTAATTTTTTTTTTTTWAAATATTGATTAGAACAAAGCTTATTTCATTTGTCAGGATGTCAGATCTCCGTGGGACACCTTATATATTACAAAATTCGAACCTATACTTACAGAACTTTTCAAATATCTGTTTAATTAATTCATACAAAAATGAATAAATAGATTTATACTTTGTACCTACTTATATTTTATACCCATTAGGCCGGCATGTATTGGCAAAATTAAACCTCGTCGTGGGGTGGCTAACCAATACCGACCATAAGCATAAATTTGTATAATTGACCGTATCGGTATTCTCTGTGTAAATCCTGTAAGCCAATGAATAGTTGTGTGAATGTATTTCCTTAAATCCTGTCGATGATAACTTATAATTATATAGTTATGCAAGTAGGGAAAGACATATCGGCTGTCTAATACATTATAACGCGCTGTTAAATGTCATCGTTTGATAGTTTTAATACCGAGTACCAACATAATATTTAATCTGAAGATTAAGTACTAATATGTAGTGTGTTTAAATGGAGTAAGCCAACTCCATAACATAGCGTCAAGTATTTCAAATTATCAGTGGTCTACAACATCTGGAATGTGTACCTTTATCTATTGCAAACTAAAATGTATAATATTATACGAATTATTTCGAAGAATGTTCACAGAAAAAGATAATATAAAAAACTAATATAAAGACAAAAAAAATGTAATCAATGTAACATTTACGACTAATAGCCGTTGTCACCGATGTATTTTAATCAATATAAAAAAAAAAAAAAACTAATATTAATTATATAATAATAACATCATTGTATGAAACCATTACGCCATTACGATTTACTAATATTTTTAAATTATTTTCATACAAAAATATTTTATATTACAAAATATATATCGTTGTTTCTAAATATACATTTTGTGGTAATAGCAACAAATATTTTGGAGCTTAAAGTTTAAGGTTTTTCTAATTGAAGTTATTATGTAGGTAATAATTTTGCAAATTAAAATTTATTATTATTATCGATTTAATGCTTAGGTCCAAATGAATATTAAAAATCTGTAACAGAAAAATGTAATTATGATCCAAACAAAACGCTAATAAAATAATTTCAAATAGTCTGTAAAAAATATGGATAATCATGTACCTATTGTACCTACTATTAAATTTTAAGCAATAATTATAATACTACATAGTAAGCTATTTGGTTAAATTTAAATTTATGTTTATATTTATTGCATGCAATTTTTAAATAAAATAATGATTCTCAAAAATTGTTTTTTTTTCATTATTATATCATATTAAGCTATATTGCTCTTGTGTTTTTCTAGATGTAGCACAAGCGTTCGACAGAGTGTGGCATAAAGTTTTGCAATTTAAACTTAAAAAAATTCTTCCCTTTTCATTATACTTATAAATTAAATCATATCTGACTGATAGAAACTTTCAAGTCCAATACAACTCATCGATTTCAGGAATCGCACCAATTAAAGCGGGTGTACCACAATGTGGTATACTTTCCCCTTTTCTCTTCAACGTCTACGTAGCTGACCAACCCACCACGCAACAAACTATTGTAGCCGATTATGCCGACGACAAAGTAATTTTATCCATTAATAAGAATTCTCTAGCTGCCTCCCCATCAAGCTAATTGTGCTAATATTGTACAGATTGTTTATATCTAATAAAAAACTAAAAAAAAAAAAAAT